GATACGTTTCAAAATTCATGCTGAATTAGACATTTGGAAGTTGCAAAGGTGATTTGTATAACATAAATAGTACACTTGTTCATAAAAAATAGTAGTGGTCTGATAGTAACCAACGTGCAAAACAAGGTCCACCTACTAGGTTAGGAATCTGACCATCAAATTAGAAATGTATATTTTTTTGGCATCATTTAATCAGAGTTATATCACTGAGTTTAGTTTTCTTGTTCTTTTCTTCAAAATATATATAAAACTTTCAAGAGTATCATTCTACCAAAAGGTTTTAAACTTGTTTCAACATTACTGTCACATACAGTACACGTTAAATTATTCAGAAAATGATTACTCACTTTTAAGGATCAAGTGTACGTATTCATTTGTCCCCATATGGTTACAAATAGTTTACCCTAAGCGTAAGAAATGACTGCAATTATAGCTGCGTAACCCACATAATACGCTAAGCTGCGTGACGTTAAAGAACACTGCTTTCCATGTCATTTTATTGAATTCAATCAGTAGAATACTGCAGGCAAAGTTTATACTAAGTGATAGCAAAATATATCTGTAGTCTATAGTAAAACACTGCTTCCGTTAACCTCCCAGTTATTCATACTCATTGCACAAACAGAGTAAAAGTGAAGTGCTTTACAGGGTATAGTGACTATGCCCTATTCCATCGGCATCTGTTCACCTGCGTTCAGCTCAAAATAATGCAGAGTACATACGGAAAGAAATAATATGTATATCTTTATGATGACAAGAATGCTATTATACTAATGGAATATAATGAAGAATTCAAACATTTGAAGAGAAGAAACTGTTGATTGAGGCTAAGTTATTCATTCCTCATACAATTGGATTATTATTGTGATACATTGGAATGACCGAAAAATGAAATGGGAAAATTGCATGGTAATTTAATAATATGAATACAAGATTAAAAATGAAGTGGATTAAGGTTGAAACGGTTTAGGTCAGACAGTAAATTTGTCCTGACGAAAAGAAGATTGGATATAAAATCAGCTGAAACAGGATATGCAGCGATTGATCGATTTCTAGATAGTTCTTATCATGAATTGACATTACTTAAAGAATCACTGAAAATGTGGACACACTGGATAGCTATTTTATCCTGCTTGGAGGTTTGTGAAGAATTAATGATTTCAGGTTGATATTCATTATGGGCTGATATCAGTTAGATAACCACTAGAAACCTGGAAGCACTGGAGACCTGTTTCGTCCTAGTGTATGACCCTTCAGCAGTGCACATCGATGACTCAAGCAGGGACCGGACCCAGGACATTCAGGTTCTGCAGCCGGTACACTACCATTGATCCACTAGGTAGAAATTTAATGATTCACGTTTTCTTACCTCTGTCAGTTCATGATACGGCGTTATCTTCATTCTTCGCCGTTGTTTATTAACTTCCTCACGTTCGACTTAGTTGGCCGCGCCTATCATAACTTCTCATTAGAACCTCTGGAATCACATCTTGAAGGAGGTCACTAGTGAGCACAAGAGTAATTCCTAGTTGTTTTGTTCTCCGGTGTGTATATGAAAGATATAATGCTCCGACGAGAGGTGGCTAACAATAGAACAATAATTTTTCAAGGCAACACAGCCGACACCAGAGGGTGACAATGGGTTTGAAGGTATAATTACTAGAATCGAAATATTACTACTATAGCTGGTAGTTCAGTAGTTTATATACATTTTTAAGGACCTTGAGCAGAGAAAGCAAAAATGTGTTTTAAAATTATAAAATGTACCAGTCAGTATTTGGTATCTTAAACCGCGGTAAAAATAGGTACCATTGCATGGAGTGAAAATAAGGTTTGAATTTTACAATAAATATATATATATATATATATATATATATATATATTACGTTAGTTTTTTTAGGGACCAGATATCCCTCACACTAGCTTGAAATGTTTTTAGTTGTGTCCATCTATTTGATAGACCAATATTCATGTTAATGGAATCATTAGAGATATGTAGAAAATGTCTACTCCCCTTAAATGCATAAATCGTTATGAAGATTCAAACAATTTTGCCATGCAAATCACTTGTAAAAGCATATTTTCTCTAAAGAGAAGTCTATGATGAATAAAACTTGAAAAGTATGAATTTCAAAATGCAAATATGAAGCAACCATTTCTTCAACAAGAAGATTTCATAAAACGCCACTCAGATGTTACTTTCGTTTCAAAATGATACACTTCAGAAAGTGTTCGGGTTATGGATTCTACATTGGTATCTCTTTTTTAAATACAACCAAGTCCTTCTACGAATGGTTTAAGACACTGTTCAACTTATATTTACGACATCAACCAAACTACTGAACTATGCAACTTTGCCTCATGAAGTTCAAATTGTTTGCCTTGAATTCATTCATACTTTATATATATTGATGAAACTGTAGAAATCAAAAATACCGGGCGATTTACTTTTTAATGCAGGTCTTCAAAAATTAACTACTTAGTACAATGCAGTTTAGTTTACTTCTAATCACGTTAATAGCCGTACTGAGCGCCTTGTCAGTAGAGTTTTACCATAATTACGGACACCATTGTGGTACAACTGATCTTCAAGCGAACTAATTACTTTATCATTTATATCATTTTCAACTAAGGTTTTCCAGAGTATTCATTTCATCTTCTGTGCCTGAGTTAATGAATTACTGTTACAATGAACTACGTAAGGGGAGATATTAAATCTCTTTGAGTATATTTTAACCAATTATTGTATTGATTTAAAAAGACAGTTTATGCAGAATTTTTTACTCAGGATCATTTTGTAACCATTTTTACAAGATTTCTTCTCATACGTTAACTTTTCTTCCATGTCTCATTGTCGAAAAATAATCGTCAGTTAACTGTTAAATGTTTACCTCATTTTGTAGCACAAAGTGCTTTGTTGTGTATTTATAACTTATGATTTGTGGATACTGTATTCAGTTGTAAAAATGAAGATTGTTGATAAGATGATTGTGAATATCTCGTCGTCTCCCACCCAGTCGGTGATTTACAAGCGTCATAAACGCATTGTTGGGTACAAACATACTCAGACAACCAAGGACATAGAAAGTCGTGATCACGTGACAGCTTTGAAGTTCTATTGGCAGTTATCATTATCAACTGAGGGAACAAACATACCAGTTTTTCTGCTGTTATAATAAAATCATTTTCTTCAATTTCCCTTGCATGAAACGTATTCACTTGTAAAAATCTATGGATAACGTCAGTCATTTTAATGATTTGATATTGTCTTCAACAAACAGATTAATAACGTTACGCCTTCCAGTGTACTACGGTAATCAAACTAGATTTATTACTGAGGTATAACTGATAAATTTCCTACAAGATGTTTCGATATATTTTACAATATCTACGAATTTTTGAACAAGGGAAACAACATCTTTGTTATGTAAAAGAATTTTCTTAAAAATATCATTGCTGACCTTTTTCTGCAATCATATCATTTTAGCTCCATTTGATCCACAGAGTGGATTTATTTCAACCCATTTTAAACGTCTTTGAAATCAAACGTCATATTTCAGAAGATTTCTTTTGTCAAAAGTTTGATGAGGAAATGTTTTCTGGTGTGAAAATGAAACATTTACTTCAAATAACAAAAGTTATGAGAAGAATTTCGAAAGAAAAATATCTATGAACAGCTGACAAACTAATTGGGTATAATCAATAGAAAACGCGAAGCATTTACCCATTTCAGTTGACACTGTCCAATAAATTTAAATTTTTATATTTAATATATCCTAACTAGTTAATTGTCAAGTTGAGAAAGTGGACAGATAGTGAAATCTGTTCACTTGATTTCAAAGTTTTTTGGAAGATATTATCAGAAAACACTAAATGTATTTTTCATGTCTAGACTGGATAGTATCATACTACATAGGTTTAAAATGAAGGTTAACTTAGTTCAGCCAGCAATATTGATATGATATGATATAATTGCTATGCATTTGAGGAATAAGTTATGCTCAAAACGCCGTTCAGTAAATAATACTGTATTACTGAGAGCTGTATAAAATAAATAACCTAATATGGAAGTAAGAGACAGAATTTAACAAAGTAAAATGATCTGGATTTGTGGAATAAGATTATAAGATTTTCTTTCATTGGTAATCATCGGGTGCATACTGGCCTGAAACTACACAGTCTGTTAGAACCAGGTTATAAAAGTCGCATACATTACCTATAAAATACTGAATATTAGTGAGACCATCTGAGATAGCCATGGTTTGTCAGCCTTTTATTTTTGGTCCCAGCAGATGTTTGAAAATGAAACAAACTTCTGGGTGACGGTAGTACTCAAACTAGAGACCTCTGGTTTTAACCCGGTGCTCAGCCAACTTAGCTATGGGACATAGTTACTAACTAGGTCTTAACTTCATTCCAGTTACCCAGGGTTTCGCATGTTACGCAATCTATTGGGTAGTAACAGCTATTTCTTCTTTTTATCAATCATACTCTTCCATATGATTCTTGAAACATTTGTTTCATGAAAAATTAGCTAGCAATAATTCTGATGAACAAGATAAAATCTTCACTATTTTAGTATTTTGGTTTAGCTAATTAAACAGTACCTTATGTGCCGTTACTCAGTATTTTCTAGTTGAAGTATGTGAATATAAACAATTGAATAATCATTGTAGTTTTAAGCTGTATGCAGCTGAAAAATATTTACGAAATAAAATTCTGTCATCTTATTCTACAATTTTACGCCATCTCGTTTTGTCCTAAATTAATCAAGGACATGAAATATATGAAAGATAGTTACCTTGTTCTTTCTGTAAAGCTGACTGTTTCCCTAACTATCTACAAATAAGCAGCCTTGGCTGACCTAATCTCCACTCAAAAAGGTTTAACATATCTCTACTTTTTACTGTGACTAGTCTGTTTATTGTTGTTTAAGTACCTCTCCCTATTTTACCATAGCAAATAATTATCATTAGACAACAAACCAAACCTTTGTACTTTTCAAATCGTTCGATCCATCCAGAGAACAAATAAATATATTATAAGCATAAACATTTCTTATCATGATTATCAAACCATGAAGTATTCCTTCACTTACCAGCTATGCCTTACCTATCTGCATCTATTTTTTAATCATATTGATGAATCGTTTAGTCAGATAACATCTAATGTATCAGTTCACAAATATACAACTACTTCGACAAATCTATCTATTAACACGAAATTAGATGAAATTTGGTTATTATGGAAAACAAAATTCAATAAAAACTACAGTAGCAAGAAGGAAAGAGATTCGAAAAGTAGACGGTCTAGTAAACTGAGAAATGGGCTGACAGATGACTACGTTGTTACAAAGTGGGAGGAATATTATCGTCGTCAAATATGGAATGCAAATATTGATCTGATTCAGTTGCATAATCTTCGCTATGATCTTGATCTCGTGGCTTACACATTAGGTTTAAATCAGTTCAGTGATTTAACATGGAGAGAATTTTGTTCAATCTATTTACCATCAAAGTTAGTGCGGAAAAATACTGATAAACTAGTGAATATATCACAAACGGTAAAATTTGTGAAACATAACATGTCTATAAATGTACCTGTCAGCTTTGACTGGAGGACTAAAGGAATTGTGACCGAGGTAAAAGATCAGGTAAGTTTTTTATTAAATAACTGTCAGTATTTTCGAAACAAAAATTTACTACAGTCAAATGTAAAATGAATGTTTATAGTCAGAGAACAAAGGCAGTCCAAACATTGGTGTAAGTGTTACTATTTATTGACATACTTGTTATTCTCCGTTGCTTTGTTGGATCGAATTGTTCGACCTCTGAGGTGCAGGTACATCCACCTGACGAGTCCCAAATAGGAAGAAACGAAAGTCCTGAATTCTTCTGCTAGCCGTAACCAACCAAATTATCATTGGTGTAAATACTTGAAGAAATACGCTTTTCGTGAATATGTTGTACAAATATTGGGCTTGTCCTATATATTCATCAATAGCTATTCCATACTACAGTATATACGTAAAAATGTATTGAAAGAAAAAGTAGGTTGTTGTTGGATTAGAATTGCAAGCATCTGGTTTGTTGGCATAGATCTGTACCAACTAAACAACGAAATCCATCTAACATCCTAATTTCCACTTTTATCCACATAGTTGAGTGATGTGACAAATGTGTTACTTGAATGACAGATATACGTCATTCATTTCACTATAGTAATCATGCCCTAGTCCTTATTTAGCGATAACAGAAAGAAAGAGTAAACATTTTGGTGTCACGATCTCTAAAGTAAATGGTTTATGAAATTTACCCCATCTACCAGTCAGTAAGAAACATGGGAAGCTTTAAGAAAGTCAGAGCTCAGGTCAATAAGATAGTAAATCGAAATACATGTGCAGACACTGAAAACCAATTACACTCAAGGTAATCAAGAAAAGATACTAAGCCATTTATAGAAAATTCCTTATAACTCGCTTCTTACATTTATGCTGGTAGTTTGATCTACAATGACTATGAAATCTTCGCGATTCGACCAACCAACTCAGAGAACACCATACCACCGAAATCTTCCTGAGCTTCAATTTTTATTCACTATCTCAAAATGCTTCCCATTGTTCTAAAATCGGAGTAAATATTTTTCTGATAATCAGACCATATAAGCTAACCTTTTTTAACAGTTGAGTTGATTTCTATGAAAATGAAGATATAATCTAGACCTTCATAAAATCCATGTAGTTTACTTGACAGTCGCAAAAAAGCCACTATGATTGAAGGTAAGTACAGAAACTTTTAGCACCTGGCCAGGTCAGAAAGGAAGCTACTTTTGTATTCACCTGCTCACAGTTAAGGACTTTATCTGAATAACCTGATTCATATTGCAGTTTTAAGTACCGGTTTGTTATTACGAACTGGTCACCAATGGGTAAACAATGTAGCTGTCTAGTCCTAAGTTCTTTGCTTTGACCTAGGTTTATTGATTGACTTTTGCAATGTGGTCACCAAAAATAGTGAAACGATATTTCAGTATACCATGTTTTGATGGTAGTTGGTGCAAACCAACCGGCTAGAAACTTTGAACCTTGTGACCAATTCTTGAACAAAATCCAATCCTACGAGAGGCCATTTGTGACCTGAATAGTTTAGTGGTTGAGTCTCCTACTTCAGCACTTAGCAACCCATGTTCGAATCATCCATTCTACGTACGGTTGGAGACACGTCCTCCTGATGAACTCCAAGAGGCACAAAACTCAAGTCAAGCAAGATTTAGTGTCATCTGACTCTTAACATTTAACACCAAAATACAGTGCATTGCAGTGTTGTGTTCATTTGTTTTAGTGGTCACACTGCAAAAACCTGAACGATAGATTTCGATCACTGATAAGCACTAAGGGCTAGACAGCTACTTCAGTTACCTATAAGTAACCAATTCATATACACACTCTATAAAGTCAGACAATTAACCTTACCTATGTTGTTCTCTTTAAAATGACCAGAAAAGTTGTGGTTGCGGTTGGGCATTCGCCACAGTTGGAGCATTAGAAGGACAAATGAATCGACAATCAATACCCATTCAAAGTCTGTCTGCTCAGCAACTCATTGACTGTAGTGAAGAGTATGGAAATGACGGTTGCTTAGCTGGTTTAATGAGTTATTCTTACGATTATATATCGGATAATGGCATTCAGAGTGAACAAAGTTATCCTTTTGTAGGTGAGGTAAATGAACATTATTTCCTTTGAATTTTATAATAAACACCAATTTGATTGCGTTCCTAGTGAATTACATAAATTTCATATTTTTTTTACACTGCGGTTAGGAGTTAATGACATTTTTAGTGCAATAAACTTATGCTTGATTTTATTAGTAATGCTATTTCATACCAATGATTTGTATGTGTAGATCGAAACTACGCATACCTAATTAACTGCTAGCCAAATCAAAGTGATCTAAATCCCAGAAAAATTGATCAGCTTACTTTAAGACAGGCTTGCTAATAATTCAACTGTATTAATTTAGCATACGGGACCCTGATGTAGAAGAATGGTGTGGATAGAAAACAATTCAGTTGTGATATCATAGAGAAACCAAAAGTATTCATACCACTGAACATATGTTTGACATGAATAATACTACCGAAATTTTGTCCCCAGCAACTGCTTAATATCTATCACAAAACAACGATAAATAATTTCCTCTCTTCAAGAACTTTAGTGCAGCAAGAAGAAAGGGTTCTGCAGAATATGATGATACTACAAGATTCGACTTTCATTTTTCTGACTGTAAGGAGATGTAACTTGTAGGTTTACTTTCTCAAAATCCAGGTAAATGATTCCAAGCTCTAATTCCACTCAATCTACTTCGACCTGCTACCCAATAAGTTTGGCTAACAGCCTAGGAAATTATTGGAATTATTTTACTTTGTATACAAGTTTAAAATTTTTTTCATATGTGTATGGGTAGAAGTATTTTGTAAGCCCTAATGGCTAAAAAGAAAGACAGTCCATCGGTAAAAATATTAAAAGGTGAAATGGAACAAAATAAGATATTCAAATTAGTGAAGTTATTGTTTGGAAATGAAGTTATGTGAGTTTTATATAATTAGACTATCACCGTTTTGATTCGACAAACCATGAAAGGAATGCGAAGAAATACGTACATTTAAATACTAGGTTGGACTTGAAGTGGAAAAAAGTGAAATTAGTTTGGATCAGATAGTAAAATTGTAGTGCGAAAGTGGAAACTGATTACATAAACAACCACTGAATAGCACTACAATAGGATGAGGCGAAGTAACCGCAATGGCTTACACTTAAAAAACAATATATATGTCAATGGGTAACATGAATTAATCAGTTCAATTGAGTTCTCAAAACAGCGACTAGTTCCTCTTGCCGAAATAAATTTCTAAAGTTTCATGGGTTTATCTTTTATCCTAAACAAATTTGACTCATTGATACTGCATCCTGCATAAATCCTATGTCGGGGAATTAAGTCTTTACCCTGTTTCATGTCATATTGCATAACTTGTCTTAGATGTGTTCATAGAATCGGACCATAATTCGTCTTTCAGAAGTACGCAGTCTGACATGTAAACATGAACTGATGGATTACTTTCGAGGTTGCATGAGCTGAGTATATGTCAACTTCCGATTGAATTAGTGAAGGTATTTTCAACGTATATTCTGTGCATTGAATTTCGACTCACAGCTGAATTAAACAAAATCCATTCCAAGACTGCAAGATCTATCTGAAAGAAGTTCAATTATGCTACACATTTTTACTCCATTTTCTCAATGGTATCGTTGAAGCAAAATAGATGATCTGCTCTCCGAGGGTATAGATTCGTTGGTAACGGGAATCTCTTCTCTTCTAGATGTAGGTCACGAGAACTGGCCACTCGATTTGAAAACCAGTAATTCCCTACAACAAGGTTCGTTTTTAGATTTGCTAGATTCCTGCTTTGTCTTGGGTGGTGTTACAAACTATTAGGATTCGATGTTATTTACAAATATTCTGCACAGTATGATTAGGTCTCTTCCAAATCTGTTGCAATATAGAGAGAAGAGGTCCAGTTTCTGAAGTTATTTCTGACAGATCAAGTTGGCTATCACGTGGATCATCAAAATGGCGTTCATCTGAACTCTTTTCAGTAGGCCTGAATCATAGATTGCTACTTAGACACTCTCACACAACTTGGATTTAACTAGCGGTGGACATAAGGTGATTAAAAAGTTATGGCTGATCCCACGTATTGCCCAAAGTATGTCGTAACCCAGAACTACAGGTAACCTATAGTGTGAAGTAGTCTCTAAGTCATGAGTCACTGTTATTCCTGGATTGTTGTAGGTCAGTAGTGAGGGTAGATTTACCCTACTAATATCGGAAGTTTTTTCATCTATATGCCTTATTTGCCGTTTGGTATCAATCACTTTTTCAACCAGGTCAGCAAGCTGTTGTTTGTCTGAAATCTGCCTAAATTGTCATCTCTTAGGTTATTAGGTACTCTAATTAGGTTGTAAGCGTTCTTGAATGTAAGTCATCAGAACCTGTTGATTTTTCAATAACCAGGTTATTTAGAATCAGGACATGCTATCTCATTCGATACCCCGACAATCTAATCTCTCTGATGGTGGTACTTCTATTGGTACAGTTTCACCTAAGAGAGGTTCTTCAGCAAACATCACAGTAGAATATTTCATCAGAGCTTCTTTTTTAACTTCATCTCCCATTAATTAGGATTTATCGATCTCAGTGAAGATGCTTTAGTCTGTTTCACTTCTTTGTCTATGGGAGACTTCTTACATCGTTATAAGCCGAAGATATAATTCATGAATTCAGTACAAGCTTCCATTTCTTTGACACAGTTCACAGAATAGACACTTGAGTCACTCGGACGTACGCCTGTTTGAAGAAACACAATAAAAGTTCTGCTATAGCCTCTGGATCAATCGCCTGGTCTTCTAGTGAAGTTAGTGTCGCCTTCCAAACATTTGGTCAATCTAAGGTATTTATCTGACAAATTATGTCAACTGTGAATCTACAAACAATCACAGAATGGTCACTTTTACTGGGAGTTTGGGGATGTTAGATGAAACCTATGTCATCTTTACAAAATAAGACCAAGTTCAAAATTAAGGACCATACTGAAAATCGTATTGATAGACTGTATCATTGTGCTGTGTAAGGACAAAAGAAGTAAAAGTTTCCAGTAACCTATGATCAACCAAACCATGTGATTTTTCTGCCACTAGACTGTCCCAATTAACTGGTGGCATATCAAAGGTTCCTGTGACATGGCAATTGCTCCTAAATGTCCAGAACGCTAACTTATCTAGGTAGAAATATTTTGTCTTACATTCAGCGCCACGATATAATGCAACAACTTAATATCTCGTCTCTTTCATTCCAAGTGGCAACGTAGCAGTTCACATATTCTTTATTCATGCGCGACCATTTCTATGGCTGACGCAGATGTATTCGTTACATAGGAGGTGACACAACTACCTCTACCGATTAATCAATTACTTCAAAAGAGGAAAAACTTTGTTTGAACTTTATTAGTCTCAGAATACAGTCATCTTTATGAGATTATGTTTCAACTTGGGTTTTCTAGTTCAACTTCATTTTTAATCTCGGTTCATTCGCCTGGAAAGCTATGAGTATTCATGATTTTCCAGTTCATCCACTTTAAGGTCCTTTTTTGTTGTCTCCTGATTGGAATTTCAGATCTTTCTCTTCTTCCTCATTTCTAATTCGATCAGCAGCAAATAGATCCTTACCGACAAAATTCTTAGCTCCTTGAAAAATGTGATTCCTCGTTAGGATGAGATCTCTGTTTTACATTGGTTTACATTAATTTTAAGTAATTGCGTTCTGGTTTTGATAGGACTTGCTTTTCATTTTCTTATTCTATACATCCTGAATATGACGGATCAAGATATTTTTTACAGGTTTGCTTTGCAAAATATGTATCTCAAAATGGTGAGATTCAAACGTACTTGTGACTATGAGTGCATACTATCCTCAACTCTGTGGGTAATCACAAATTCTTTACTGCATGTTTAGAAGACTCTCCTTCTTATCAGAATCATGACTTAACACAACTAAGTTATCTGCGTACTCAGATTAGTAGTCTTTTGAGTTCCCTGCTTGGAGTGGATATCTCAGGTTGTTAGAGAGAATTTGTAGTTCAGTCAATGATACAATATTAAGTTAATGATCTTGAGAAAGGTAATCAGATTTTTAAAGTTAAGGCATCTAGATCAGAAAATACATCATAAAGAAGAATAACTATTTCGCTCGAATGCTAGCAGACAACAGATATTGCTTCTTCTAGTTGCGTTTGTAAACAAAGACAATATGCTATGCTGTCAGCTTGTTCCTAGGAATGCCTTCTTTTCTTCTTCACGAGGACACAAATTTTTCATTTAGATCGCAGGTTGCTGGTTTCCTACAACTTAGATCTAATCAGCTTGCTAATCATGAAGTCAATTTGTGTCAAGAAGAGCTGGTCATTGGCAGTACCGGTCTAAGTGGTGCATCACTTCAATGGAACCTAGTTGTTAACATACAACTAGCAGGCGATGACTTCAGTGTTTCACGTTTCCGCAGGTTTCGCCACCGATCACCTTCTTCGTTTCTTCAGTTATCTAACTGTTTGATTCTTCATTGAAAAGGTGGCACTTATTTAACTTTTACAACCTCAATCTCCCTGTATCTTTTGCATCTTTTGACTACAGTCATATTTACTTGTCGGTAACATTTCATTCAATACTTAAAACTTACCTGGAGTTACTGAGAAATGGTTCAAGATACTAAGCCTACAACTACCACATCTAAATGCAAAATAGCTAGAAAAAGGTCAAAGAAATGGAATGGGGAAAAAGAACAGTTAGTTTAAGTCACTGATAAGTGTAACTGTGTTCCATAATCTGACGGAAAGTAAAAATATGGTCGATTCACACGCAGCTAGCTTTGAAACGTGCCTAGCTATAGTGAGAGTACTGTTGTCAAGCTCTGGTAAAACCTTCAAAGACTATAAAATCAAGAATCTTAGATGGGCATATTCCTCCTCAGCTTTCCCAATAGGTTTTTTCTCCTTTCTTAAAAATGGAAAATATAAGTCGCTGGGACCTGTCAGAGTAGATCAAACCTGGTTCTCAAACGTTAACCAGCATTTAAATCAATATGCTCAATAACCATCGGCCATTGTTATGAAAAACCCTTGGTGCTCACGGTGTATGCTCTCCTTTCTCTGTTATGATTACTTAAGGTTTCAGCAGAGTTGGATACCTTACCTCACCTGTTGCTCAGGATGAGACCGAAGAGCAAGAAATTGAAGATCAGCTGATCTACTTCTCAAAATGTTTTGCTAGTCGTTTCACTTGTTTTCTCTGCATATGGTTTGCATACACAACTTTCTCTTTTGCGGTTCCATTTATACTTTTCAACTAATTTCATTCGAGAAGTCTGAATAATTGTTCACTATTGCCCGTTGCAACTGTTATCTGCATCTGCGTTTGCGTCTACGTTACTACATATACCATATAGACTACTGCATTATTTTTATACCTTCAGGCAATCAGTTCGCCGATTGTAACCAACATAGATTTACTAATGAAGTAACGTAAGAACATTAAGTAGATGAGACAGAGATGAAACAGACATGAAATGATGTTACTATAAAAGTAAGGAAATCTGCAACTGATGGCCTGAAATTATACATTTTCTTTCTCTAAATGAATCTGGTGAAAAATACAGTGACTAACATGAACGTAATGACCAGCGCTCACTTCTTAAATTGAATAGGCTCTAGGAAGTAGCATGAAGGATGTGCATAGCATTTATTCATAAAGTTAATCTTGAAGATTAATGGTTGTCTGAAGTACTATATATAGTCAAAAATGTTCACAAGTTATTGAAGCATGTTTCACGTAAGTCAGTGACTACAGTGATACTTTTACAGTACAAAAGACTAATACTAGGATCACTTGGGGTGAGAGATACACAGTCAATAGTCTACGCATTCATGCACGTCGATGAATACTAGAAACATGCTTAAGCGCATATAGAACATGCGAAGAATACAAACTAATCAAACTGTTCACTTCTGAAGGGAATTTAAAGTATATTTCAGTTTATTAAGATGAGAATATGCACATGAATCGGTATCCGGCGGATAACGTATGTAACTGTATTGCTTTTAGTGCTCAGTCCTGACCAGAGTCTGTCAAACAGTTTAACAATGTTCTCGGGAAACTAAGTAATGTGATACTGTAGGGAATTCAATCAGCAGGAAGCTGTTGATCTGGGTTTTATAGCTGCTGGTACTCATCAGCTAGGCGTATTTCCAGCTATTAGGTACCTTATGCTCTCTCGTTGACTCTAGGCTGTCACAAAGTGCTGAATCTCGATGCTTTGCCGCACCTAGCATCACAGTGTCAAGTGGTACCAGTATTTTTCATTTGAGGAATCTAAGTTGATCATTTAAATCTGTTTTCTGTGGTAAACCTATCTTTTAATCTTAAAATAAGACTGTAATTAACATTTAAAAGAGTTCATTTATTTCATTTCAAGGAATTACCATGTCAGTATAATGAAAATAGTTCCATAATGTGGTCGAGATCATATACGAAAATTCCAGAAGGCCAAGAGTTAATACTGAAATACAGTTTATATGAACTTGGCCCATTCGCTGGTGCTATAAGTTACACGCCTGAGTTTGTCCATTACAAGTAAGTGAATACATAAACACTTTATGAACTTTACTTGGGAAATTTTATTGCCTAAGTGTGAAGATCTTTCATTTCAGAATTTTATTTGACTAATGTTGACCTTTATTTGAATATCACCTCAGAATTCCGTAGATATTTGCAACTTATTATCCTAAACCAAACTTTTATTGTCTGGTAATAGCTCGGCTGTGAACATCTGCTGCAAGTAAGTAAATGAGGTGCTATGGGGCCGGAGTAAAACATGCACTTAATGGTACAACGTTTTATATGTGAAGTTACCAAGGGCTGAAATTTTTAGACACCCCAGTCGAACATATCGGTTTAGAAGCTAACGTGCTCTACATGGAATGCAAGAACCCCAAGCCTAATTTTGATGGGACTTAAGGTAGTATGTTGTTAAACCCCTTCAAAATAATTATAGATTTTCATTAGGTGTGGAATAATACATCTTATAAGATATATTTTACTTGTGTAATCCCAGTGGAGTATATTGGAGCAAATAACGAAATAAACAGATATTTTGTTTTATTCCTCAACGTTTCGATCTTGCTAGGAGGATCTTTTCAACAGTACTAATCTAGCATTAGGTTTTCCGGTTGAGTAATACTTAACTTTAACGAAAGTATGTCCAACTAAGAAAAGGGAACATTTATTTCCTCATATTTCTTTATTTTGAAGTACTGACTTTGGTGAGTCAGACATTGTTTATTCATATTTTTCAACAGGTTTAATGTGGGTTATTCCTGGTTGGGGGTGAAACTGGTGTAAAGAAGTCAAAAGATGACTGGGTAAAAAATACAGCATCTTGAGATGAAGGAAAGCGTCTCTTAAGAAATCAAGCTTCCTTAAACATGATTTCGAAAAATTGTTAGCCATAGCAGATATACCCTGCTGGTGGTTGCCAACAAACCCGAAGCCTAGGGTCCGGGCTTCCAACCGACTGACTCCTACTACTTAGTACCATAATATCAAAGAAGTCTTGGACTACAGGTCAAGGATTATTCATTTATGCCTTTTATTTCTGAATAGTAATTTGAAGAGACAATAAAAATTAATTGAATGCATCTTTTGCCATATTTACCTCCCTTTCGATCGTTCCGTTGCTATTCATCTCTACCCATATTGTTATTCCAGTGATGTTATATCACTTTGTGTGAATCATTTCTCGGGTCAAAGTAATACTAATCACTTGAATAAGATGTATGTTTGTAGTATGGATATCTACTCTTATGTCTATCGTCGATTACCTACCTATTAATAATATTTAATTCTAGGAACTTTATACCATGAATACACAACTTTTCAAAGCAAAATGCTTAAAAATGATATTGAGAGTTAAATTAACTAGAGGTGAACTGTATGCATTTACTTAATACAGAATCTTATGAATAAATAAAAAATATTTGCAGAGTAGGTGTCATCGGACTCACAACATCATCTACACTTCAAAAGTCGGCAGCAAAAGGTAAACCATTTACACCACCTATTATCCATTTGATCTATTTTACTTATTTTAGAGAAAGGTGACACACAAGGGCGGCTGAATATCCAATATTCCTGGATATTATTGCAAATATCAGTTTAATAAGTATATCAACCAGTTCCAACTGATTTGTGTTATTAGTACATCACTATAAAAGTATTTGAAGCCTTAAATCTATTACAGGCGATAACTATTATATGTTCCTCAACACAGAACCCTCTATCTCTTAGTATAAATTTTTAATAGTCACTGAATATATGTTTTAAATTTATATATCATGGGAGAAAAGTTCATTTCCTACAAAGGGAATTAACCTAAGAAACTGAAGAAAAAAAACTGTAATTAGAGTGTGTGTTTTCTACACAGAAATACTTACTGTCACCATTGGTCTCTACTAACAAATGACTTTGTAGGTTTCAACCAGAATATATAAAAACAGTTTTTTTCCAAACTGACATTTAAGACTATTCATATGACATGAGATTTTGTTCCTGAAGATTAATGGAGTTAAGACAGTACCTTTATTACCTTATACCTACTTCGCTGTTAATAAATATTTCGCTGATTTGCGCAAATGTCTTCTCCTCATACTGTAAGACTAATTTTCAACTCTAAAATATTATATAGTTTGTCATTGTGTTCATCCACAGATCGACTGAACTCAACTGTTCATCTTAACAAGTTTTACTCCTTAGTGAGTTTTCCTAAGTAAAATGAAAACTTATTTCGACTGTCTCGTGCAATTCAGTCTGCAGAACAATTTTAATTACTTCCAGTACCTTAACACAGAAGCAAAAAGTACTTGCTTACCTTAGACACTGCGTCTTTAGTCACCGACATTATTCTCAGTCTGTCACACAAGTCAAACCCAAAATTTAGAGTACAAGTGATGCGGCTGCTATTCAGTCATATCACCAGACTTCAATAATAACCTCACCTTCTTTTTTCGTTTTATGACTTTCTACGACTTTTGTTTGTATCATAACGTCTTTCCGAGAGGTATGGCAACCTGGTTGGTAATATAGTAATACCATTTACTAAGACGTCAGAAGTGTGTTTGATATTACTTTCAAGTTTGACAAGTACTACACTTATTTGGCCATATAAAGTTAAGTATATGATATAGTAGCCTATTTTGGTGAATAATGGTATAGGGACTCATTTTATTAAATTAAAACTGTCAGATTACAATAGTTATAGTTTGTATTTGTGTAAGTCCAATGTGTTTGAAATGAAATAAGTCCAACCTTGTTTCGCAAGGAAGTTTGGTCCCAGCTTCTTCAGGGAAATAATCAAAATTGAAATATCGAGGATACATAGATAAATCAAAAGGCGTGTATTTTATCTTCCTATCCAGTCATCTTCGCATGGTCATTATCTTTCTAAAATATGATAACTAATCATTCAGTGTGAAATGATGTCTTTCATTGTGTTCGTTACCAGTCATATTCTCCGTGATCATAAATATCAGACAATAAAGGCCACGGGTGACATTATAGCCACTTGGTAATTTTATAAGTACAGTAAGCCATATGAAATGGATATGTTCATCATTTCGGTATTACCGATTTTTCCATTGATTTGTTGGATTAGAGTAGAGATGAATGATAGTAATGATGGTAGTAACGACAATAATAATGAATCAAATCATTCCTGATTGGGTATTGTTGCTGGCGCAAAAATAAACTTGAGACTGATGTTGAAGGTAAATACTACAGTCACTTTTCTGCTTACTAGTTAGTGAATGCAGCTAACTGTTCTCCATCTCATCTGTTCAAACTGTCTTGATTCTCCCGTATATGTAGGGCTTCGACCTTCAATTTCACTTAATATGACCCGAAACCGTTTTGTAGGACCTCGGTTACATCGAAGTCAATTTTGTGTTCTATTTCTATGGAGTTTATCCCGATTGCCGATTTGTTTTTTAGCTTCTTAACCTCTGCTGAGGTTTTCGGAATCCACTTTAGACATAGTTTATGCCCCTTCCCTTTTGCATTTACCTCCGTGTCTGTCTCTCGTACATCTACTGCAGTTCAATCTGCGCATTCGATTTCATAAACGCTATTCGGTTGATTTTCTTTAAGTACTACATCTCTTAATTTCATTAAGTTAGGTTGCAAAGTACGATGGTCGCTGGTTCGAATCCCGGTGCGGTCCAAATTTACATTTCACCTTCAGTCATTACCCAGTGTCAGTATGTAGGTTATTTGTCGCACGAAAGTAAACTCTTATGCCATGTTTGTGGAATTTTTCTGATTTCTTCTGAGTTCTCCTTATGGTATAAGATTATGACAGTGTTTATTTTGCTCTTCGGAGGGAGCTTTGGTACATCCTTCATTTCAATTTTTGAAATTCTTTTTACGAAATCTTTGGGGGTATGTAACGGAAGTGAAAAAACAGATGTCAAAAGCTGAGGAAAGACATCGAGCGAAAAAGTTAATAAGAATAAAGCAGTAAGCTAATCAAAACTGATAGTCCTGTGTTAAACATTTATTCATTTTCATTGACAAACCACTGATGTAACACTGAAGTTATACCTTGGGTTTTCTCATCACCATCAAAACAATAGAGTCTTCTAGGGAGGAACCATCAAATCCTCTGATTTTTGGTTTGCACTACCAACTATGTGCTTGAAAATACTTTGATCAAGAAAACTTTGTGTATGGCTAACATTTGTACCTCAGAGTTTCACTTGTCTGTTAGACGATTTCTAAGAACATTAAACCCCTATATTCCCTCTTTCCCTCTTCTCGCTATGATGCTACGTTTTATTTTCACATGTTCTTCTCCATTTCGTACACTTTTCAAATTCATATTGCTTATCTTTGTGCATCTTTAGGACTACTTACTTATTAACTTGGTTTTATTTCTTGGTTTTCTCTATCGTTTCCTGATATCATGACATTATGAATGACAAACAATCAGTGCTAATCAACCAGACTAAAATTTGAATTATACCTCATCTGACTGTATGATTCAGCTCTAGGAGACAATGAAATTTCCAAGCACATTACTTGAGATTATACCTATCACCCAACTATCCACTTAGCTAGCCAAATCTAGTATATCTAATAAGAATTAATTCAAATGCATCTCTGATGAACCAAGTAAAACACCAGTTAAATGGTCATCTACCATTGAAGTCATCTGAATCTGCAGATGGAGGACTAATGACTGGACTCAACAACCTACAGTTATTAGCATACCAGCCAGTAGTACTTTCACATGCTACTAACCTTGACTTTATTTTCGGTATAGAGATTACATTCCATGTTCTGGTAAAAGAAACTGCTATCAAATTTGTCACTGAATTCCAATAATTTTTGTAACTTTAACCCCAAGCTATGAAGCTTGAAAACGCCTGAATAGAAAATTAAGCTTCTGCTCACTAAACCATTTCTGTGGTTTCTGAATCATAATTTTAAACTAAGTGCTTCAGCTATGAGGTCTTAAGGATCAGTCAACAGTCAATGTTAGATTTGATCAGAAACTCTTCTATGCACCCTGGTGGGACCTC